TGTATTCTTTCAGATCAAAGTATCTGAAATAACACCCTTGGTCATTGTCTATTTCCTATCTCTGCTTTATTTTTCTTTATAGAATCACCCCTGATGTTATAGTATACTAGAGGTGCAGTGCACGAATTCGTGCAAGGGTGGGGTCCAGCCAGGGGAAGGGACCAAGGGTGGTTGGTGGGCTGGCCCCACCCCCTGGTCAAACCCCCAGTTGAACTCCAGGTCGAATGGCCAATTTGCATATTAGCTTTTTATATAAGATATCTACTTGTTCATTACTTGTCTAAAATATTAGCTCTTCATTAGCCTTTCTGTCCCTTGAGGGCAGAGAGGCTGGTTTTACTCACTGCTATTATCCTTAGCATGTTGGTTAATGCCTGCCACATATTAGGTGCTCAATGAATATTTGTTGAGTGAATAAATGAACAAATGAATGTATCTTCAGAGAAATGTAAGAATAAGGAAGTTATCTCAGACTTGAAGACACCGAGCCTGCAACATGCTACAGAATTTACTAGCCTTGGGATTCTGTAAACAGAAATTCACCTGGGGGAGACAGGAAGGTCAATCACTAGAATCTTTCAGAAGTGAGGCCATCATTGAACATTCCTCAATGTGTGACTGTCTTGTTAGGGACTTCCAGAAAGGCTCTGCATCAAAGGCCAGGATGCACAAAGTAGTGCTGACTCCCCCATCCCGAAGAAAATAATGGTAATTGTCCCTGCCATTTATTAAACATGTACTGTATCGGTCAGGCCAGCATGTACTAGGAAGGTTAGGGCCTGTGGGCTAGAGTCAGATGACAGGGCTTTGATTTCTGGCTGTACAGCTTTCCTCCTGAAGCCTCTGTTTTCTTATCTGTAAAATGGGGCTTATCATAGTACATACTTCAGCCCAGCCAGTGTGGCTCAGTGGTTGAGCATCACGGTTCAATTCCTGGTCAGGGCACATGCCCAGGTTGCAGGCTTGATCCCCAGTAGGGGGCGTGCAGGAGGCAGCCAATCAGTGATTCTCATCATTGATGTTTCTCTCTCCCTCTGCCTTCCTCTCTCTGAATTCAATAAAAACATACTTTTTTAAAAAAAAATAGTACATACTTCAAAGAGTCCTTGCTGGATGAAATGAGCTAATCCATGCAGCTAGTATTCATGTCATGGTAGCTAGTATTCCTTGGTGTTTTAGTACATGACCAAACCCACCTCCACCAGAAAGCCTTTCGCCTTTGGCCACTCTCTTCCGTTATGGCAACCCATCTCTTGAGCTTCTAGGTGGAAATTTGTGCTAATGGGGTTGCACCAATTGGCTTCAGAATGGTGCTATTATTGCCTGTTTGCATTTTCTCACCTGATATGAGTGAGGATTCCCAGTATAGTGCTCTCTGAGCTGCTCTGCACAGAGGAGAGGCTGGCTGGAAAAGATGCAACTCAAGAGGACACTCCTGGGTCTTACCTTTCCTTCCAGAGCTGACCTGTCCCTCACTGCCTCACCCCACGGCCACACTCCCTTTAGCCAGCAAGGGCATTCAGTTCCCTGTGCCCCCCGCCTTCCCTTCCTGCAGCACTAACCACAGCTGAACCGCACTTGCCTGGTTACAAGTCGATTTCAGGGTCCTAGTCCCAGTAAACAGCATGAGACCAAGGCTAGAGGTGAGACCTAAAACACGTCCATAAAGATGACTGCTGAACAAAGACAGTGTCCAGCGGAGAGGAGCCCAGAGAGGCAATCGAGGGCCGGGCTGCACCCACGTGAAGAATGTGGGCTCAACCCTGAGAACAGAATGGACTTGCTCCAAGGCGGGAAAACTGGGAGCTCACATTCTCCTGCAAGACTGTCCCCAGCTGCTTCGCAGCCTACTTTATTCAGGTAGATGTTCTCTCGCTCAAAACCAACTAGATGGGAATATTAGTTGCCCTATTTGGTGAAAAAAAAAATCGCTTTATAACTCCTCAAACTAAGGTGAGCATATTCCGCTTCTCCTTTTTTGAAATGAGGCTGGCAATGAAAATAAGTAGTAATTGCAAGTGTTGTATTTCAAGTCACAGAAAAGAAGTTTTAAGCTTAAGGAAAGCCATTTATACCCTGCCCTCTCCCTTAGACCTTATCAATTGAAGCCGGACATCAAGTGGAGGGAATTATTATCAATTTTTTTGTAAGGGAAGAATTGTGTCTGGATGGGCAAGTTTTTTAAGAAGGAGAACAAAATAAAAGTCGGATTCATCAGTAAATGACACGAAGCTTCTTGAGAGCAAGCCCCGTCTTTACATGTGTGTTTCTACAGCAGCCGGGAGGGAACACATTGCTCTTCAGGCTTTATATACCTTCCAGGAGTACATTCTTGAAATGTAAAAACCAAATCTGAAATTAAGATGAGGCTAAAAAATAAATAAATAAAAATCTGGCTTTAAGGTTTTTAAAAGGCAACCCAAAAAGAAAAAAAAAATGCTCTTTAAAAAAAGTGTGTGTGTGTGTGTTTTTTTAAGGACTTAATAAATGAGTTCACACATTTAACCGAGTGAAAGGCTTTCTGTTGGCCCCAAATGACGATAGATAAACAACTTTGTTTTTTTTCTGCCTGAGCAGAGATGGAAGAAACAGGACTGTGGGCTGACGATCAAACAGAATGAGAGCCTCTTTCCGGATCCCCCAAAGCCGTCCATCTGCTCTTACCTTAGAGGTTATGAAAGGCTCTCTGGGACCAGCTGAACAAATGGGATCCTGTTCCTTCCTTGGGAAAACTTGTTTACACTGTATCTGTTTTTAGGCCTCATAAAAGTTGGTGAAGTGCGTTCTTCCCCATTAGCCTGAATTCTTCCACACTCAGCAAACAGCAACAGGAAAGGCCTTCAGTCATTGATAACAACGAAGGCAGGAAGCTCACACGAGGCCCTAATGAGCTGGCTGCCCTGACAGAGCGAACGGCACAGAGACACCCTCTCTCTCCTGCTCATGGTTATAGGATATCGGGTTTGAAAGGACAGGAAAGACGCCGGAATTTAGGTAAATTTATTCTGACAGTGACAACAGCATCATCTCTTCCACAACTCAGTCACGTCCTAAAGGATTCATTTTGGAACTGTCAAAGCTTTCAAAACAGAAAACGATCCTCCGGCGGCTGAGACCTGGTTAAACAAATATCACTGTGCAAGGAAAAAGCAAGCAACTTTTCAAAGTGCTGTGGGGGAAGAAATCTCAGGCAGGAAACCAGAAAATGACAGTGGCAGCCGGATGGGAAGTGCCATCCCTAGGCAGGGCCCCAAGGGAGCAGGGGAGGGTACAGCAAAGGGCTCAGGGGGAGGGGGTGACCTGGGCCCATCCTGGGAAATTGGCTGAGCGTGTTCTAAACAGGATGAAGAATCAGAGACAGCACGCATGTCACCCAAATCTACCTCGGGCGAAATGTTGGGTAGATTGGCCCAGTGAGCAAAGCTGTGGCCATCGAAGCAACAAAATAAATAATGATAATATCACAGACCCGTAGACTAAAATAAATATCCACAACTCCATACTGATATAAATTCATAATTCAATAAGTAACAGGGGGTGATGAAAGAAAGTACAGCTATTCCTTACAATAGAATATCTATAATAAACATAGGAGGAATAAACAGAATCGCTGTTAGAAAAACATTATAGTAGTAATTATTGCAGGCAAGAACAACTCATGGATCTTAAAATTAGCAGGTAGAATTATAAGAAACAGGTCTCGTATCCTTACTATGTACGTGTTTAGTGTCTTTAGAGACAGGTCAAAGTACCTTCCCACAAAATGTGTATTCATTACAAATGGAAAAAAAGTAGTTACTTTACAGGGGAGAAAGCTAGTAGACGCCCCCTTCACCAAGTGATCAAGGTGAACTGGCCCCGATATGAGACACTGAGAAGGACACAATGTCATTTCTGGGGTATTCTTGCCCAAAATATATAGCCTCAATCTAATCATGAGAAAACAAGAGAGACCCAACGTGAGAGACTGTCCATAAAATAACGGGTGTGAACTCTTTGTAAGTTCCAAGTTCATGAAAGACAAAGATAGACTGAGAGCTGTCACAAGTTGAAGGACGCTAAGAGGCGTGGACAGCAAATGTAGTGGGGGAACCTGGATTAGATTCTGTTCCAGAAAAGGACATTACTGGGGACTTGGAAATGTGAATAGGTTCTATAGGTTAATTAAGAGTATTGTACCAATGTTAACTTCCTGTCTTTGCTATTTCTGAAACTATTCTGTAAAAGTCTAAAATTATTGCAAAACAAAGAGCTAAAAATAAAGTTGGAGTCAGGTTGGCTTGACTTAGCAGTCAGCCAGGACCATGTTTTGATCCATAAATTTCTAAGTTGGGACATCAAACCCTGATGGAAACTACTGAGAAGAGAGTCAGGCAAGGATCAAGTACTGTAGCCCTCAGCCATTCTCATGTCCAGAAAGCTCAGGGGACAAGGGACCAATACTCTCTAAAACAGTGACATCACCCCTGCAATGCTGCATTCCTCATAACCTCTCTTCGCTCAGTTTTTCAAAACCTAAATAGATACATCACACCATTCTGCTTGTTTTTCCCAACAAGGGAAAGTCATGTCCATAAAAGTAAACTTTGAGTCAAATCCATCTCCTGGACCTTATAATTCTGCGTAACATTAAAATACCAAAAAAAAAAAAAAAAATCAGATATTTTTCTGGAATAGTATCCATTTGACAAGTAGAAATAATTCTTATTAGTGTTCATCACTTGCCAGGTATTCGAATATCTGTGGGAAGCTACATCAAGAGAAAGAATTATACTTTACGAAAGGAGATAAAAAGCTTTGTGCTCCAAACGGACTTTCAGCTTAAAGACCTAGGCTTTTTAGCATAATTCCAAATCCTACTGGGATGGCTATGTACCACCACATCTCAACTAGGCTCTCATTGTGGGGCTCACTCTTTGGCAACCCTGGTCTCATGTTGGAAGCAAATAACATGACATCAGCGTGAAGGCACATGTACCAGGATGGGGGTGCATACATACCTCCCACCGCATTGCAGCGGGACGTCATCTCCCAGAGCACCAGAGCCATGGAGTAGACATCTGTCTGCTTGAAGGACTCGACATTCTCCAAGTTCATCCTGGACTCTAAGACTTCCGGGGCCATGTATCTTGCAGTTCCCACCTAAAGCAAAAACAGACATGGAGGCCCATTATTTCATTCCAACCGCATTTTTATTTTCCAAATATAGCTGTTTGTCCCCTACATTGGGTAGATAATCTTAGAAAGTACAACACTTTTTAAAATAAGGAGACCTGCACAGAAAGGTAGAGCTTATATCATTATTTTTAAAAATAGGTGTTCTCTTCCTGAACACCCTTTAAGGAGTATAAACAAAACATGCCAAAATAAGGAAATGCCAAACCCCAGAGCTGCCTTGTCCAGCCCCATGAAACATGTCACCATATTATACAATAACATCCTTGCAGATAACCTGGGAGGCAACATCTGTGGTACTTCAGATGTTTATTTTTGCTTTTGCAAATCAAATATTTCTTCATTCCTGAAATTCCACGATTTATGGTGGAAATAATCATAAATGCCATTAGTCTGGGTCACTTAAGGGCTGTCTGAATCTTCATTGTAGTGCTGAGAATGTAGTATAATTTCATAAAATCTCCACTAAATGAAACTGTATGAAGATATTTCCCCAGTAAAAGACTAAATCTGGATCTTCATGTAGTTTCATTTGGACGATGCCTGATAATATGAAAACACTGACACACAAAGGAACACCAAACTATTTCTAGGGAAGGAATCTCTGAAATGCTTGCTGATGCAGCGCCTATAAAGCTAAGTAATAATGAAGTCCTCCCTTCTCAAGAATCTAAGGAAAGTCAAGTGAGCTGGTGTTATTAACCCAAAGAATGTTTTTTATTGGCATGCATTAGAAGACATTTTTCTTTTTAATAGGTCATTGCATGAGTCATTCTCCTGGCACATTGATCTGTTCGTGTTTCCACATGTTTACCTCAAGACTGCCTGAGCAGTCATGGACCCAGGGGGCTGACTGGGCAGTGACTAAAGGCTTCAGAAGCACGTTCCTCCTCCCGGGTAGAGAAAACATTGGTGCCCTGGAGATTCCACTCTGGTCCACAGTTAAGCTTCCAGTGTGTGAAAACAAGGGGCCACGTCATTCATAAAGGATGCTGGTCATTTCTAGTCACTTCCCAATAGCTCCGTAGCTAAACAGGTTTCTATTTTACTCTGCGAGATGCTTTAAAAGTGGAATTATTCATGCACTCAGCCCATCACTCACAGAACAAATGCTCCTTGGTCACTTTCCCTGTTCAAGGCATTGTGGTAGATGTGACCAAATGGGCATGGATTTGGACCCCGTGGAGAGTGCCTTCTAGAACGATGGAAAACAATGAAAAACAAAACAATACAACTACTAGCAGTACGGAGTACAGCCAAAAGAGAGGGAAAAAAATAGAGATAAAGTGCTAACAGGGTTTGAAGCACAGAAAAATAATTGGCAAGTGGAAGAGACATGAGGATTGACTCAAGAAGAAAACTATCTGTCCTGAATTGGGGAGGATTTAAAGAAATAGGAGGAGAAATGCTGCTCATTAGCACCCTGCCAGGAGAGAGTGGGATATAGACAAGTATAAAGAGTGTAGGGCTACTTAGGGATGAAGAGGTAGGTGGGGCCAGAGACAAGGTAAGGGGAATCCAGGTCTGACTTACCTGCCCACTGTTGGCCAAGTCATCCACAGACAGAGTGGGGTCCAGACGCAGGGAAAGCCCAAAGTCACACAGGCAGCAGGTCAGGTCGTTCTTCACCAGGATATTGGAGCTCTTGAGGTCCCTGTGCACGATGGGCATCTTGGGCCTCCCGCACAGGGTGTGGTCACTGTGCAGGTGAGCTATGCCCCTGGCCAGGGAGCTGCCCAGCTTGCACAGGTCCTCCCAGCTGATGACGTGTCTCGTGAGATACTCCTGTAGGTTGCCCTTGGCATGGAAAGCAGTGATCAGCCAGTACTGCTTCCCCAACTCCGTCTTCCGCTCCTCAGCCGTCAGGAACTGGAGGATGTTCTCGTGCTTCAGGTTGATGTCCGAGAAGATGTCTTTCTCCATCTTCCAGGAGGCATACTCCTCATAAGGGAAGATCTTGACTGCCACGGTCTCGAACTGCTCTGAAGTGTTCTGCTTCAGCTTGGCCTTGTAGACCTCGGCAAAGCGACCTTTCCCCACCAGGGTGTCCAGCTCAATGGGCAGCAGCTCCGTGTTGTGGTTGATGTTGTTGGCACACGTGGAGCTGATGTCGGAGCGGTCATCTTCTATGATGATGGCCAGGCGCTCACTGAGGTCCATGAGCTTCCGTGGCTTGCTGGTCTCCCAGGACGGGGTCAGCTTCTGCTTCCGGTGGACACGGTAGCAGTAGAAGATGATGATGACGGCGATGGCGATGACCAGTGGTGGCAGGAGGCTGACGCCTGTCACTTGGAATATGACTAACAATAAGTCAGGGTTGTTGGTGGAATATTCTGATGTGGGAAACAAAACAAAGGAGAAAAGGAATTGGGTTGAGTAGGTAGGTACATCCTTGCAGATAACCTGGGAGGCAACATCTGTGATACTTCAGGTGTGTGTTTATTTTTGCAAATCAAATATTTCTTCATTCCTGAAATTCCAAGATTTATAGTGGAAATGCTCATAAATGCCATTACTTTGGTCACTTAAGGGCTGTCGTAATCTTCTTTGTGAGAAAGTGGGTGTACACCTCATGTGTCCAGATGTTTCAACATCAGTATAGTTTTTATAAATAATGCATTGTGAACTTTTATTCCACGGATGGATGCGAGTGTGCACCTGTCTCGTCTTCCCTGCCTCTGGCCATTCATTCAATGTTTCCTACTCTTCCCTCAAACTTAAACTTAGATGCCACTGCCTAAAATAAATCTAGGAAAACTTGGAAAATATTTTCCTTTATATATATAAGCTCACAGCACCCTACATTTTTTCTATGTAACAATGTACCAATTTCAATGAAATAACTATGACTCTACTTAGTGATTTTATATTTGCCTTTTTCTACTTCCCACCCCCCAGTAGCCAAGATACTAAAACAACCTAAGTGTCTAACAATGCATTGCTGGATCAAGAAAAAGTGGTATATGAAGTGCCTATCAGCAGATGAGTGGATTAAAAACTGCAGTACATCTACACAATGGAATACTACGCTGCAGTAAAAAAGAAGAAATTCTTACCATTTGCAACAGCATGGATAGAACTGGAGAGCATTATGCTAAGCGAAATAAGCTAGTCAGAGAAAGATAAATATCACATGATCTCACTTATTTATGGAATATAATGAACAACATAAGCTGATGAACAAAAACAGATCCAGAGACAGAGAAGCATCGATCAGACCGTCAAACCTCAGAAAGAAAGTAGGGGAGGGTGAGGGCAAGGGAGAGAGATCAACCAAGGACTTTGTATGCATGCATATAAGCCTAACCAATGGACACAGACAACAGGGGGGTGAGGGCATGAGTTGGGGGGGTGGGGCAATGGGGTGATAAGGACACATATGTAATACCTTAATCAATAAAAAAATAAAAAATAAAATAAAATAACACTAATTATGCCAAAAAAAGGAAAGAAAAAGTGGTATATACATACAATGGAATACTACTCAGCCAAAAACAGATGAATTATTGCCATTTGTGATAACACAGAAGGATATTGAGGGTACTGTGCTAAGTGAAATAAGTCAGATGGAAAAGGACAAAAACAGTATTTCACTAATCCGTGGAATATAAAACAACAAAAAAAGAAACAAAAAACACACAGAAAAGCAAACATAGATACAGATCACAAAATAGTCATTAACAGAGGAAAAGGGGGATGAGAGGAAGGCAAAGGGTAAAGGGGTCAAATATATGGTAACCCAAGGAAATTAGATTTTGGTGGTGAGCACACAGTATAGTAAATAGATATTGAATTATAATATTGGACACCTGAAATTTATACAGTTAATAACCAATGTTATCCCAATAAAAAATAAATTTAAAAAAGAAGAAACTAAGAAGTTCATGCAAGAGAGCTCATATCTTGCTCAGACAGCCTAAAATATTCACTATCTTCCCCTTTACAAAAAATGTTTGCTGACTACTCTTCTATAGATGTTATTTTAACAACCTGTGACACACGTGCAGAATTTGGAGAGATTGTATTTTGATCCATTGTGAATATTCTCTTTCACATGTGAGAAATCAACACAATTAGAAAATTTTAAATATTAATTGCATAATTACTTAGTCATGTCTCCAATTCATTAAAGAGTGCAAAACGACCGAATGAGCTGTTTATCTACTACTCCTAAGTGAATTTTATAATTCCTGGCCATATATCAAAAGGGTCTTCCTCACTAAATTCTTTTTTTTTTTTTTGCTTCTTAGCAGCTATATTTCTTTTTTTAAAATTTGTTATTGATTAAGGTATTACTGTCCATTGCTTATGCTTATGTGCATGCATACAAGTCCTTTGGTTGATCTCTCCTCCTTAACCCCATCCTCCCTTACTTTACCTCTGAGGTTTGAGCATCTGATCGATGCTTCTCTGTCTCTAGATCCATTTTTGTTCCTCAGTTTATGTTGTTCATTATAGTCCACAAATGAGTGAGATCATGTGATATTTATCTTTCTCTGACTGACTTATTTCACTTAGCATAATGCTCTCCAGCTCCATCCATGCTGTTGCAAATGGTAGGAGTTCCTTTCTTTTTATTGCGGCATAGTATTCTATTGCATAGATGTGCCAAAGTTTTTTAATCCACTCATCTGCTGATGGGCACTTAGGCTGATTCCAAATCTTAGCTACTGTAAATTGTGCTACTGTGAACATAGGGGTGCATATATCCTTTCTGATTGGTGTTTCTGGTTTCTTAGGATATATTCCTAGACTAAATTCTATTCTTTTTCAGGCTAAGAGACACACAAACACAGAAATCCCTGAAATGTATCTGGTCATTCATTGAAGCCGTCTCTAGAAATACCCCCACCTTCAATGTCAGAAACCAAAGTTTTACTTTCCCCTCGAATTTCCTGTGTTTTCTTTTTGAAAATCTACTGTAAATATCTTGTGGGGAGGGAATTATTGAATAACATCTGTCAATTTTGAAACTTCAAAGAGGCGGTGAAAAACCCTCACAATAGCAAAGGGGCTGAAAGGAAGCTTTGGGATGTGGCTTTATCTAAACAGGAGCCACCCACACCCTTTCACAGTATTAACCCTTAGGCTACTACTAAAAAAAAAAGAAAGAAAAAACCAACAGCTGTGGGTGTAGGTACCAGCTAGCATCTTCTATACTCAGAGACCAGCAGGAAGTATTCTCGACAGCCGCCAATTACACAGAAACTCAAATTGAATTCTTAGTATGAACCTGGCTGTGTCCTAAGAGTTTTATATAATATTTATATTTCATCAGAAAAAAAAAACCCTATAGAAACTGCTATTATTATAAACCCCATTTTATAGGTGAGGAACCTAAAAGGGCCAGATGGTTTAAATAATTTCCCAAGACCATAAACTTGGGCAATAGCGAAACTGACATTTGAAAAGCACCTGTCAGATTGGTGAGACTCCTGCTCTTAACTCCACGCTGTAATGCTCAGACTTCCCATTGGTGAGAACCAATTTACAATGACTTCATATAACCTCCCAATTTGATAAAAGTCGGGGCTGGACTAAGTGAGTGTATAGCCATCGGTTAAGTGATATCGGCAATTCTTGGATGATGTGTCTTAAGGGACATATTCTGAGTGTGCCGATGATTTCTCTCGTTCTTAACTAAGAACCACAGTTGAGTGGTGTCCCTGAAAATATGCATCTTTTCTCTACATGGGAAGAAAAAAAATCTTACATGAGGAAGAACCCTAAAAACTTTTTTCTCTCAGAGCCTATTCCTAGATAGAACATAGTGGGGTTCAAGATGTAATTGTTGAACTGTTGGAAACTTCCATGAATTGTTTCTTGGATGTTGTAACTAGTGCTCAAGACCTGACATTCACTTGACACTCCCTTGTTATGTAACATTGAGCTCGTTCTGGCGGGCATAGCAACTAAGGGGCATTTCTCCAAGGTTATAAAAAATGAGTCCCCACACTATAACCGCAGGAGCTCTTAGCCTAAGCTCCATGGGTAGAATTCAGTGCCTCTGTGAGTTTAAAATGGACAAAATTTGCTCTAACCCTTAGCTAAAATGTAACCTTTCCTTGCATTGGCCATGGGTAACTTTGTCACCAATATTCACATTTATTGCAGGTGTCTTGGCGTATCATTTATACTCATCACTTAGACATTTCCATTTTTTTAGACCTGATCTAGATCTTATTTAAAACATTACCATAGAAACATGTTACTATAGCATGAGTTTATTTTTAAAATATTTGATACTTGCAGTCCCATGTCATGGGTTTTCTTTGGAGTCCTGTGTTTTATAGTCTATGCATTTAAAAACACATCACTCTGAGAAGGGGTCCGCAGGCTTCTCCTGACTTCCAAGAAGTCCGAGGTGCATATGCGCACAAGCAAGAGCCCTTGGCAGAGTGAAGGCACCTGACGTTCATCTCTTTGCCACGATTTCCTAGAGCAGAGTTTGAGATTCTTCCCGTTTCTTGGGGAAGCTGGTAAGGGAGGAACCAGAGCCTCCTGACATGATGTGTTCCCCACGGGCAACTGTGGATTCTTCCTCAGCTTTTGTCACCTGGACAGGGAGCTCTGCAGTGAAAAATGATGGGACCCCCCACCCCTGCTCCTTCGAACTCTTAATAATAAAGGCAACTACCATCATGTGCTTCGTTGAGCTAGGCTCTGAGCAATTCACTTTATAAGCATCATCTCACTTTAGAGATGGAGAAGAAAGAAAAAGAGAGAGAGAGGGAAAGAGAGAGAAGAGAAAGGAAGAAAAAACATTGAGGGGGACATTGAGATTTAGGATGGTTCGCACAAGGCAAGCAGGGGTGCCCATTTCCCCAGGTCTGAGTGGTTCCTTCACCCCGTGCCACCAAGCTGTGTTCCTAGCAATAACCCCAGGGATCCATTTAATAATTCTGAAATTTTCCAAAGAAATGTGTCCCACAGAGAGGCCAGATTTTGTTGCAAAGGAGCCATTTGCAAATGTCAGACTTGATAAATAAATCTTTTTTAAAGACAAAGGTCAAAGATAAATGTTAGTATGCCATAAAATAATACAAACTGGCAGAAAACCTCAAGAGGAAATTCCATGGTATACATTCCTCTGGAGTGCTTTAAAAGTAAACAAGTTGCTGAATCTCACACACACACACCATATAGAGGACAATGAAGACAGGTTGCTTCCAGCCTCTTTCAAATCCTTTGTGATGCCCATAGCCAACACTGGTTGCTAAAAGGAAATCAAAATTGAACCTCTATAAATCAGTATTTTTAAAAGGTCACATAGCAGGCGTTTGGAGCAAATTTACCAAGATACTTATTTATCCGAGCAATAGCAAGGGGCACA